GTTTATGTACTGAGCATGACGTCACATGGTATGGAATGTCCCTTTGGCCAGTTGGGGTCAGCTGTCCTGGCTGTGCCCCCTCCCAGCTTCTTGTGCACCTCCAGCCTTCTCAGTCAGCAGAGCATGGGAAACTGAAAAGTCCTTGGCTAGTGTAAGCACTACCTAGCAACAACTAAAACATCAGTGTGTTATCAACATTGTTCTCACCCTAAATCCAAAACACAGCACTGTACCAGCTACTAGGAAGGAAATTAACTCTATCCCTGCCGAAACCAGGACAATATGTGACCTAGTGAACTAGATACTACATAAACATGGTTAAAGAGTTTATAACCTATACAAAAATGGACACACTGGGTAAAGGAGGGGAGAAAGTGTAAAGAAGTAACATCTGTACAAACCAAGTAACATAATAGCCTCAGTCATCACACTAGTTCTACAATTATTAGCTGCTGGGTAAGCAAGGTGCAAACAGAGGCAGGTTTAGCAATAGTCTTAACAGTGATAAATGAAAAGGGGTAGTCCTCACTGGGCTGCATGTACCCCCCACACCCCAACACAGCAGTTGTTCATTGTTCTGTTCCAGTTGAATAAAGTCTCAGTAAGGCCAAAGAGAATTATATTTCTTGGTGGCTTCATCACATTAATCTTAAAGAAGACACAGTACAGCTTTATGCAAAAATCATTGAAAATTTATGTTTTGTAAAACACATTTACTTTTATGCTTACTTCTGTCCTATCCCATTTCAGCTTACGAAGTTAAGTATGTTCTGATATTTCTAACTTTTCATGCTTTCGGACAAAACCATGGCAATGCAGTTATATTACACATAGTGAGTATTTCAGTAAAGATATAAAATATATATACTAACAACTTGGCATTATAAATCTAAGAATCCCAGAGTAATAGTTAAATGGCAAACAAATCTGAAGAAGTTCCTGTATGTAAAGGCATACCTGTCTCTGTGGGGAGCCAGACAATCTCAGCCCTACCCTGTATGCAATCAGAAGTTTACATGGCTATAGTTGTGGTCCCAAATAAATTAATAATTTGGTTTAACTTATTGTACTCATAATGTTATTACTTGATAGAATGTGTACACAGAACCAAACATACTGAAAGATTTTCTGACTGTGTTTTCAGATAAAACTCACAATTTTGACTTACTCAAAATGACAGAGCAAAAATCTGTATTAAGTAGACATTAAAATTTAAAATATCTTAACTGTTAAGATCTCTGAATCACACAAGGAACTTCTGAAGTGATGTATTTTCTTTTCTTCTGTTGCAATCATGTAAGACTGATGGTTAGAATAGAGGAAGAAGAGAGCTTTACCAATCAATAACATTTTGACCATAACACTTGCTTGAAAGCATCATGTCTTACAGTTGTTCCATTAAATGTTCAAAAACTGTGAAGGCTGTACAGAGCATTTTTGTTTTGTTATACAAATTAGACTATGGTAACAAGCTAAACCTTTTCCAATAAGTAATATACAAGGCCATAACTTTGACTAGAATCCTTATCCTAGGATAATTACAGTATTACATCAGGAAAAAAGGTCTTTCATTAAGGATAGTTTAATACAGGTATAGTTTTCTTTTCAAATAAAGTGTCTTCATGACTACCACAGACATTGTAATTTTTATTATGTGCAGTCTATTACCACAGTTACGATAACAGTGAAACTAGTATTCAGCCCCCTGAGCTGGAAGACAGGGATGGCAAGCAGGATGAAACCCCCATAATCCAAGAGGAAGCAGTCAATGACCTGCTACACCACCTGGATGCTCACAAGTCTATGGGGCCAGATGGCATCCACCCAAGAGTGCTGAGGGAGCTGGCGGAGGAGCTCGCCACCATTCTCCATCATCTATCAGCAGTCCCGGTTAACGGGGGAGGTCCTGGGCGACTGGAGGGGGGCCAATGTGACGCCCATCTACAAGAAGGGCAAGAAGGAGGATCCGGGGAACTACAGGCCTGTCAGCCTGACCTCGGTGCTGGGGAAGATTATGGAGCACCAACCTGATCTCCTTCTATGACCAGGTGACCCGCCTAGTGGATGAGGGAAAGGCTGTGGATGTGGTCTACCTGGACTTCAGTAAGGCCTTTGACACCGTCTCCCACAGCATTCTCCTAGAGAAGCTGGCAGCTCACAGCTTAGACAGGTGTACTCTGCGCTGGGTCAAAAACTGGCTGGACGGCCGGGCCCAGAGAGTTGTGGTGAATGGAGTTCAATCCAGTTGGCGGCTGGTCACAAGCGGTGTTCCCCAGGGCTCAGTTTTGGGGCCGGTCTTGTTCAATATCTTTATCAATGATCTGGATGAGGGGATCGAGTGCACCCTCAGTCAGTTTGCAGATGACACCAAGTTGGGCGG